AATCAAATATTTGTCCAAGTGGGAGAATGTTAGAATAATTCCAAATATGGGCTTCACATTCGATTGTAAAATTTAACTGGTTAGATGTATGGCTCACAATGACATTATGATTAGGCCAATCATGTTAAGTGATCAATTTGGGTCGTTTTACACCTTACGAGCTTTATTTGATATAATGTGGTAATTTCGAATATATGGGCCGAAATTATGTGTAAACCCTAATTAGGGTTTAAATCGACAATGAGACGACTAAATAAATTCATATATAAAGGTTAGGTCCCCTCTCCTCTTCATATGGTTTTTATTGGCTTGCCCCATTGATGGCCAACACTTTTGTGAGTAGCAAGGAGGGGAAGATCTGGTTGCTATTATAACTATTATTCATATCAACGATGGCTTCTGCAAGTATGAATTCAATTTATCAATTTATTATTCTGTGATACTTGTTCTTAGCATGATTACAATTAAATTCAACAATGTTGCCATTGCTAAGGTGTTGTCACCTCACTGCAGCGCTGCGTCATAATCGATGTGTTGTTGTGTGTTTGGACTTATAGTTTTAATTTTTATATATAGCAAATTATATATTTAAAGAAACTAGGAAGGTTTTAGCCACCGTTTGGCCCCAATTTTTTGAAATGAAAATTGGTGGAATAGTATTTATTTATTTATTTTTGAAAAAACGAGTGGTTGAAAAAGAAGGAAAATTTTCGATTTACTTTTAATATTATTTTATGAAAAATTTTGTGATTGAAAATAAGAGAAAGAAAAATAAAATAAAATTTAATGAGGGCCAAACGGGACTTAATACATGACGGGTTTCCAAAGCTAATTTATGGGTAAGTTTAATTAAAATTTAGTTGGAATTACGAAGTTATTTTAGCCCCTGTTTGATCTCCATTAAATTAAATTATATTACATTCCATTTTTCTCTTTTCTATGTTCAACTACACAATCTTCCATAAAATAATATTATACGTAAATCGAAAATTTTTCCTTCTTTTTCAACCACTCATTTTTCTAAAAAATACTATTCCTCCCATTTTCATTTTCAGGTAATGAGGTCAAACAGGGGCTTAATATATAGCAGATTTCCAAAGCTGGTCAACCAACGAAAATTGTTTAGGTTCAAATAAAAGGTGGTCCGCAAATATTGAAGAGGGTGGTATCCTCAGTCAAGAGGCATATGCCTCATTGTGATATTTGTCAATCAAGAAGTGATAGAAATTTCAAGAAAATGACAAAAAATTAAAAAAATTGTTACATGCACTAAAAAAAAGTGACAAAGATTTTAAAAAGTAACGAAACACCAATTAAAACATTGAAATCAATTCAATAAAGCGACTAAATTGTTCATTTAAGTCTGTTATTATCTCGTGTGGAGAATATAACGTGTCTTTTCTTTTAAACCAATATTTTTGAAAAAATTATTATATCTCAATCCTACAAAAAGAAAAAAGAAAGTGACAAACTAAAAAAAAATGACAAACCCTCAAAAAAGTGACAAAATTTAAATAAAAAGGGGGGGGGGTACAAAATTAATTTGAGCATAATTAATACGGAAATTTGTAACGGCTTCATTTATTATGCAAGCAAACAGGAACAAGATAATGAATATAAAAGTGAAAAAATGGTTGAAATCGTTGTACCAATAAAGTGCACAAACAACTTTTGTTAAAATGTGAAAGTCACATTTTCGTTAAAAATGTGACATATCATATCACTTTTCCTCCTCTCCGATCCCCAATTCTCTCTCCAGTTTCCAACCAAAATTCAATCATAATTGCCAGAGCTCTCTTCGATTTATCTCAATCCAACTACTCTGGTAGGAGTTCCAACGTTGTTGCACTTGCTGGAATTTCCTTTAAAACAACTGATCCAGCTCCAATTTTTGCATTTTCTCCAATTTTAACATTGCCCCAAAATTTAGTCCATGTACCTGTTTGAACCCCATCTCCAATCCTTGGTTGTCCATCCCCTTGAATCTTCCTTGTGCCTCATATTGTCACATTGTGTAAAATTGTAACTCACGCTTCTCCAATCACAATTTTAGTGGCATGGTTAAATCTATGTCCAAATTTTGCTCCTAGATGGATATCCATTGCGATAACTTCTAGAACTTGATTTTGAATAAGAATTGCTAATATATTTAAGGTCCGTTTGATTGTAAAGATGAAATTGAATTGAATTGAAAACGAATTTTAGGGAATTGAATTGCCTAGAAATTGTTTTCTTGGAAATTGTAAATTATTGTGTTTGATTGGTATAATTTTTCACGTGAAAAATGTTGAAATAAAAGTGTTTTTTGGTATTCGTTTGAGTCTCTTTGACATGAAAATTGTCAATTAAATGGATAGATTTTACTGGTATAGGGGATGAAACTTGTTTCCATTACAAAAACAAAAACAAAAAAAAATCAAAAAAATTATTTATCTTTTGATATTCGTTTAGCTTTGTTTTACATGAAAATTGTCAATTAAGGGGAAATATTTTTTTTACAATAATTCTTAGAATTTGTTAACTTTGCCAACCAAAAAAAAATGAAAAAAAAATATATATATGCTACAGTAACTAAGAAAACCAATTCCCACCATAGAAATCAAGAAAATTTCAAATTTCAAGAAAAGAAAGAACTTGAATTCCATGGAAAAATATACCCATCAAACACCTTAAAAGTTGGAAAACGTTGTTGAAATTCAATTTTCCATGGAAATTTTTGGCGTATCAAACACACCCTTATAGCATTTAGCCAAAGTTTATGTGCTACTTTTTGGAGCAATGCTACAAATCCCTTGAAATTCAAGAAGCAATGAACATAACATAAACAAGCAGGGTGGCACTCTTTCACTACTTTGAGGTAATCTAGGATAGCACACTCGATATTGCCATCTTCTACTAGTGTTTTCAAGAAAACATCGTAAAGGGCCTATCTTGATAGATTAACTCTACATAATGTGGTAGCTAATTGATTTGCCAATGTAATCTCTAGTGACTCATAAGATAGTGAACAGTATTACTTTGACAAGATGGGCTCTTTTTTTGTGTAAAATTTAGCCTCTTTTTGCATTCTTAACCATATATCATCTTCACCACATTCTTGAGGAATCAATTTGGAAGAATCTTTAAATTATATTGACACGAGGAATTGGATGAATCAATAGTAAAACACTTGGCATGCACATTTTATGAGCCTGCAAAAGTTAACTATCTGGCATCCGCAGTGTGAATCCACTAGTATTTATCCATTTCTTGTAAATCCTACAAACTTCATATATTCTCACATTATATCAACGGTATACATCCCCTCAATGTTCCAACCATACTATACTCGTCCATCAACCACATTGAAAACAACTAGTAATTTCTAATACGATATTGTATTGTTGCAAACCTCTTTCCTAGCATAGCCAAAGACAACTCCATTCCCCATTTTTCCAAATCTGGCAGATTCCGCTCTATGAACACCTCGTTTGGGGGTTTCTCTCTATAAGCAGTTGGGTTTGAAGCTCTTTGGAGTTCTGGTTCGATTTTGGGACGTATAAATTACGGTGATTAGAGGTTTAAATTTATGCCAAGTGTATTATTCTAATTGCTTCCTTTTTTTGGAGTAGTGAGCCTAATTTCCTCTAGAAACCAAGTGGTGATTATCGAGATTAAAGAGCATTGGTTTGCATCTTTGGAGGGATGAGTGTTGTGTTAGCGCCTTTTTCTTGTTAGTTTCTCCCCAGAGGATGCGAAAGCAAATGGACTCAAATTTTGCTGGCCCATTTAGGTTGCCGAACGTGATGCATGAAAATTTATGCAATGGTTGAACGTAGAAAGTAGTTTGGCCCCAAACCCCATTATTTTTTTTGAATATCTTCGCAATCCTAGATAAGATGGTTTATGGTACGTGTCATTATATGTCTAGGAATAGAAATATGAATAAAGCTTTTCGTCCAATCACTACAAAAAAAAAAACAGTTTTTCACCTATGGATAAATTACCAACTCTATCCGTTGGTAATTAGAAACGGATTATCCTTTGGTAAAAAGTATTAGACTTTTATTTACGAAAATCACGAACAAAATTTCTGTTGGCAAAAGTAGTAGCTCTTTTATCAATGGATATTTCATGCCTAATGTTATTATTTAATATACGTACCATTTACAAACAGTATTTATGTAGGTGACGTAATTCAACTTTTTTTTTCTATAAATTGTATCAACCTTTCACCTACGAATTTCTCATGAGTAAAGAGTAGTTCATATTATCACAAAATTGCCGTTACTAATATTAATCAATTTCAAAGGAATTCTTATTTCACATCGGAAGTTCACAACAAAAATTTTGGAGTTACTATCTATAAATTTGTGCTCCAATAAATGTTTCGACTCAATTAGCTAAAAGTTAAAAAATTATAATTATTAAATACATAACAATAACAATAATAAAAAATAAATAAATAACTTTTTGACCACACCTCACACAAATTTTTACAAATAGTAATGATAAACATTTACTAATGAAAAGTTGGTTGGTAATGATTAAGATTTTTACCGGCGAAAATTCATTGAAAAAATATTTACTCTTTAGCAACGAAAAATTCATTGATAAAATATTTACTCTTTACTTACAATGCGATTCGTTAATAACTATAAGTGACCCCCCAAATTAACAACAAATTTGTGATTGCTAATATTTCATTGGTAAAGAGTGATAACAATGAATATCGTAGTTTCAAAAGCGGAAAATCCGTGCTTGAAGCTATATTTTTTTGTAGTGAATTGTTGACAATTTGTGGTTGACAACATCAAAATCTGAACCATTGATCTAAAAAAAAAAAGTTTTAAGATTTATATATATATATATAGGAAATGATCTCCTAAACAACGGTAATTAGCCTATGTTGATGGTGTACGTATTTAATGATTCACCAATTAAACGGTGTGTCACGTCACCGGTACTAAGGAGATCATTCTTGTATATATATATATATGTGTGTGAGTGTATAAACAATACAATGCCAAGCCATCTTTTTCATTGTCATCAAAATTAATAAATCTCAGAATTCGTAAATTACGCAAGTTCCAAGAACCTCTATAAATTTATAATTCATACTCAACCAAAATTTTACCTAAATTCACATAATTTTTTATGGCAATGACAAAGTACACCATATCTACTCAGAACGCAGTCCAGGAATGTTCTGTAGGCCCATTTTTCTGAGGTTTTTCTTCGCAATGGCGGGTGGGTTGTCAAGTCCCATGCTTCGACTATACTCGTTTGCGAGCATGACGAGTCGATTCTTGTCTCTACGCACATTCTTATTGGAATTGTAATATCCAAGCCATGACCCGTAAGCTGTGCCTTTAACCTTCGCATCTACACGGGATAGTGCGCGTTCAACCTGAGCAAATAAGTGAGCGTTTTCACATCACAATTCAGACATGAGTGAGCGTCAGAATATGCTTTATATCTTCTCAATTAGCCAATGAAGAGCTAGAAAAAGGACGTTGTTGATGAAGTACTCATTGAACACTCACCTGTTTCCTCGAGTCTGAATCAACCATTGGTTCTGATGCCTTTGTTATTGGCAAGTCTTTGATACTGGACAAAAAGAACTCTTCCCAAGGTGCCAACAAGAGTATACCTCGTCCTTCTTTACCTTTACGTCCAGTTCTACCTAGTCGATGTATGTACTGTTGTCTATCAGCTGGCACGCCAATCTACATTTGCAACATTTGTTATGGTTTTGTACATAAAATACATTGAGCTTAAAGTCATTAAGAACGACAGCTTCAAGCTCATTTTTAAGTTTACCAACAATGATTTTCAGCCCTTCTCGTAGTAAAGTACCATTGGCAAGGGTACCCCCCCCCCCACCCAACCCCATCGAAATAAAACTGAAACCATTTCTTGTCTATTTTACGAAATTAATAAAAGAGGCACGGGGATGTCCACAAACCCGCTATCTGGTCAATATTTTTTACCCCAAAAAGTAGATAGCAGGCAACACTTTTTTAACCCAAAAAGTAAAAACGATCGTCAACAAGAAGTCGCCTAGATGGTCTTTCTCCTCAGATCGGAGTAGCAATAGAGAATTTTATTTCGCTTAGAAGCACATTCAATAAGTACTGATTAAGTTCTAAAAGCAATCTGTATGTAGCAGTATGTAACATGTCACCTGAAGAACAAGTGTAATGTCCGGATAATCTACTCCTCGTGCAGATACATCAGAAGTTACAAGAACTAGACCTTTTGACTTCCGGAATTCGTCAGAAATCTTGTTTCTGTAACTTTGTGGTTTTCGAGAATGAATTTCCCGGACATTCAAGTTAAGCTTCATAAGGAGATCCGCTATAAATCTTGTAACCATTGCAGTTGTGCAAAACACAAGAACCTGTGTCAGATGAGAGTAAGCATGGTGATAGAGATTTAACCACTGAGTTGGAAAAAACCAAAAGGTGCAAAATATTATAATCTTGAGAGGATTCATAATTTCTTTATAGCATTGATTGTGGCAGAACCTTAGAGCTCAATCATACAAAATCTTTTAGACCTTTCCAATTCGCCTTTTGCATATTCTTTTGCTTTAAATTATTTTATTCTTTCAGCAGTATTCAATAAAATATTCAGAAAGTTTTCACAAGAAAAAGTACCAAAAGAATCTATGAGAAAGGACCAGATACAGTACCTTATAATTAGCATCATCTTTTATATGCTCTTTCAGCAGAGTATATAGAATCGAAAAGTGGTTGCCTAAAGGAGCAGCTATATGCATCTGTCTCACCTGAAAGATCGTGAACATTATGAGAAAATTGTGAGTGCACATAAAATCAAAAAATACAATGCAATGTAATTATCTGACAGTCTACCTGTGAATTTGTCTCCTCGAGTCCTTCCTGTACTGTATTGATAAATTCATGGTCCAGTTTCAAAGCAACATCACAAATTTTATGAACCTGAATTACAGATATGTTTAGAATTTACTCTAAAGCATGAGATAACACAAAACAATAGGATCAAAATCACCTCATCCGGAATAGTGGCAGAAAACAAAAGAGTTTGACGCTGGATTGTAACAGCAGAAATACACATTCTTTATTAAAATAATATTACACGTAAGTCAAAAACTTTTCCTTATTTTTCAACCACAAATTTCACATCAATTTACTATTCTAAAATGCATTTTTACATAAAAATGCCTATCAAACACCCTCTATACCAAAGGCAAGTTTTCGAAACCCCCTTTAATAGCCAACATAAAAACTTCCCATCTTTTAATTTTTTTAAAACATTTTCTTTATAGGTCATCTGTCCATTTTAACCTTGTTATAATGGCTTTCATCTGTTACTGCAATATTTTCTCTTAAAGGCACACTCAACTCAACTAGCTCAATGCCATGATAGAGTAAAACTAGACTCATTTGAGCTGGTGGATTTTTCTATGTGAATAAGACTAGATGGAGGTAGGGGTGGCAATGGCAAAACCTGGTTGACCCTTAAACAACCGATCTCAACTTGGCTCGGCCCTAGGGATGAGCCGAGTACAACTTGAGTCAAAATCGTAGGCTTGGCTTGGCTCAGCCTTTGGCTCGGGGGCCTTATGGGCTGAGCTAACAAAAAAAGTACAAGAACAAGCAAAAAAAAAAAAATTTAAAATAGCGAAGTAAGTCAAAAAACGAGCTTGCTCGTGGGCAAGGTTCTGGAGCCGAGCCCATGTGGCTTGTGGAAAAAAAGTGGACTTGGCTAATCAAGCTTGATATGGACCGAGCCTAGACAAGTAGAGCCCACGATCTAGCAGGTGGTACAGCCCGTTTGCCACCCATAGATGGAGTTGAAGGAAACTTGAAAGTGTATTATAGTAAAAAAATAAGTATTGGGTTTTCAATTTGAAAGCTTCTTGTCACCATCCCTCCTGTAGTCATGGACGTAGTAAAAAATAAAATCAATCTTCATTGACCTTCTCTTTTTCACATTTAATCCCACCCTCATTTTCAATAACAACGCCCCCCCCCCCCCCCCCCCCCCCACCCATGTGACCCATTTTTCATGAATTTGTGGGTGGGAAACCCCCCCCAACACACACATTTATGTCACCTATTGATTGCTGTCGAAGTCTTGAAGAAGAATGACAGAGGATATTTTAGAATTTTTAGTTGCATGAAGGTTACTTCAAAAAGAATTAAAACTAAGGATTTTCTTATTTTGTTTCTGACTTGGATTTTTCAGACGTTTCCTCTATTTAGAAATATGGTTCTTTTTGTGCTGCTGTAATTCCTACAAAAAATGGTAAGTAACAACAACAAGAAGAATAAAAAATTCCTCACCTTAACTAATAATGATGGGAAGAAAAATTAAATGCGAGAGAAATAAATCAAATAAATAAGAATCTATGCTTATTATTTTCACCTGAATGAGTGTGTAATTTGGTATTTTTCGAATGCAGATTCCATTACAGTTTTAAAAAAAATTAAAAAAATCCTTAAATTAGGTACCCAAAAAAATTGTCTACAGAGTACAGCTTGACGACCAATCTCAAAGGTGAAATCATTACTAAGTTAAAGGAATGCCCATTTGAAAATTCCTCCATTGCCAGAGAGAAACTCGGTTTGATGGTTAAATACCACATGATCAATACAATAAACATCTATAGCCAATCAAATACAGGAACAATCTCCTTTTCCCTTCTTCAGCAGGCAGAATTTACTAGTTACAATCCACGCATATCTTCAGTAACTAGGTTTTAAGTTGCAACAAGACACGAATATTATAAAATAAGTAACTACTACCATTGTCATTCTTATTGTACTTTCTAAGTAACTATCAAAGTGCATATCTATGAACTGAGACAAATGCAGTATTAAGATTCAAGAAACTACCTGCTTTCACTCAAGTATGAATCACTTCTTCCAGGTAAGCTTGGTGGCAATTGGGTCACACTTCCTTTCTTCAATATGCCATTATGGTCCTCCACCACAACCTCCTCTGTTCCCTCCTCGTCATCATCAGCATCATCAACTCCATCACCATCCATCAACTCTTTGAAACTTGTATACGCATCAACCGTAACAATCGTGTCTCTTTGCATAACCCCATTTCCATATCTCTTCATTTCCTCACCATTACCACATGTATCCCTCCCATTTTTCTCCTCCCTGTCACTCGTATAGCAGCCCCCACCCTGCTTACTCATATTGTCCAATTCGCCCTTTCCCCCCCTCTTGGCACGCTTCTTTCTACTACTACATTTACCATTTCCAGAGCCAGTGACCTCATCTACGCCATTTCCTTCTCTCTTCATTTCTTCACCACCAGTTTTCTCCTCCTGGTCACTCAAATCACTGCCCAGAAACTGCTTGCTCGTATTATCCAATTCACCTGTTCTCCCTCTCTTCCCACACCTTTTTCTACTACTACATTTACCATTTTCATAGCCAATGACCTCATCATTATCGCTATTACCCAGCAACTGATTTTTCTTAAACGAATTAGAACTCGACCCACAAACCCCTAGCATCCCCAGACCCCACAGTTTACGAATATGAAATTGTTCTTGTAGGAGCCTTTTTTTAAATTTTAAGGACCCTAAAGACTGGTACTTGAATTTGTGTGGGAAGATCCGGGAGATAACAGGAATAGTCTGGGATCGTCTGCCAAGCGGGTCGGATTTCATACCATCGGCGGGGACAGACGATTCGGAGTAAAGGGAGGTCGAAAGGAACGGTCTTAAATAAGCAATGTCGAAGGATATAATGGGGAACTTGAGGTAGGGTTTTAGGGTTTAAGCTTTTCCCTTCTCTCTGTTACTATTTAGAGTTTTAGAGCGCCCCCATTTTTAAGTAATGAAAATGGGACGAATAGTATTTTTTTAAAAAAATAAGTGGTTGAAAAATAAAGAAATATTTTTTATTTACATGTAATATTATTTTATGAAAGATTATGTAGTTGAAAATGAAAGAGAGAAAAATAGAATGCAATTTAATAGGAACCAAACGGGGGCGAAATATGTAGTCCATTTGATTTCCATTTTTTTTTTGTTAAAAAAATAAAAAATATGATCGTTATCCATCACATCAAATCATCATATTTTACTTTCTATCTTTTATATGAATTTCATAACGACTATATTTTTCATTCTCATTCTTACAAAAATAAATACCAAACGAAGACGTAATCTTCATTTGAGAGTTGTTTTGTTTTATTTTTGGGAAAATGGCAACCGTAGTTCCAAATCTTTCACTCAGTAGCAACCATCCAAAATTTCAAAATTTTTATTTTGTTGCAGTCGAAGGCATATTAAGGAATTTTGTCCATTTTTTCGTTAGTTGACCAAGAAAATTAACTTTGGCTATACTTTGACCACTTTTTAAATAAGTAAAATATTAACTTTATTTTAAAAGTTGGAGAATTGAAAGAACCATTTTGCCTTCATTTAGCCCTTGTTTGATCTTTATTATTTTCAAAATATATTTTTATCTCTATTCTTTTCAGCCACACATTTTTCAATAAAATAATATTATATTATATTTTTATTTTTATTTTTTAACCATACATTTTTTCTATCAATCTACTATTCTAAAATACAATCTTAACAAAAAAGGGGGTTCCGACAAGCTTTTAATTGATCAAAAGATGTTAAATTTTTTATTTTTTGATCAAGTAATGGGAAATTAATGAACTGGTTGCAACAAATTAAAAGTTAATGTGATTGTGATTACCATTGATAAATGTATTTTATACATTTATTCAAGACTTTAAAATGGTGACATTTAGTTGCTTTTGAATGAATTTTGGTCTAAATTATTACATTTGATGTTAAATAGGTAAAATTCAATGACGGTACAAAAAATTGAAGGGAATAAACAAAAGTCGACAAACTTGAAGAAAATGGCTAAATCGTAAGAGATCGAAAATTTGGGGACTAAAGTGTAAATATTTAAAAGTTGTGTCCATGATGAAGACCCGAGGACATTAGGAGTCAATTGGATGAAGAAAGATGTCAAAATGATCAAATTTAGGCAAAATATGATTACAAATCAATTTTAAACTATGAAGTTATGCTCCAAAATTTCATCCTCACATTGAGACCCTTTTTGACATAGCAACGATCAAATTAGAGAATGATGTCTGAAGCAAGGTTGTAACTCTTTGAGTTAGCTTTCCAACGTAACCTGAATCTCCTCACTCGGATATCGGGAGAGAAAGTTATTACAAAAATATTGAACGGAATATTGTCTACCCGAAAGGCGGTGCTGTGCGGCGCCGCTTCAGGGTGCGTCTAAGGAGTGTTTTTTGCCCGTTTTGAAATCTATAAAAATCCTACTTTCTACAAGAATGAGGAGGCATCTATAAATACCAAATTTCTCACACTTTGTAAGGGATTCACACATTGAGAGGCAAGACATACACTTGGAGATTAAAGAGAAGAATTCAAGATAGAAAAATAACAAGCAATTCAAGGGTTGAAGCATAAATTGGAAGAGGAAGAAGATCTTAGTGTAAGATTGGTTTCTTATTCTATATTTTTATTCAAAATTCGGTAATGTCTTCTGTAATAACTGCTTATTTATCTTTCTTTACTATGAGTAGCTAATCTAATTTTAGGGCGAACAATATAACTGCTTTGGGAACCTTTATTTATTTTATTTGAGATTTTTGTTCATTATAATTACATATATGGATTTTAATCATGTTCTCAATACTTTGAATTTTCTGGCCAATTTTCAATGTTTTCGTTAACAATAATTGTATAAAGATGCGGATTCTTGTTTAGACTACATATTAAAATTCGATAAATTAATATAACGTATAGAGATGTCTATACTAATTGTTGCAGTTATAATTGAATTCTTCGAACAAAGAATCCGTTTAACTAAGCTTGATTCGCATAGAGATATGGAATTAAATTAGTTAAATAGGCTCAATGAGAACTTGAGTGGGGTAAATTGAATAAAATAGGAAAATTTTACCGAACACTACATGAGATATGAATCCTGATTTAAGATGTAAAGATGATCAATATGTGCAATTATTCTGCCACAATAGTTGTTCATTATTTAAGTTCTAAATCACTCTTTGTGTGCATCAACATATTT